AACGGCATCTTGTCAATGTCAAGAGGTCAAGTTCTTTCTTATATGCACAAAATTAACTGCAATGGTAGCGCCTTTCTTATTGAGCATTAACCTTGTTTGACTATGATATGCGTCTAATGATTACATTAAAACAATGGGTGAGGAATAAACTCAGCTGTACTACTTCCACAACCGACGTCGCTCGCGGCTCATGGCTCAGTGAAAATGTGTCTAAGCACTGTGTATGTGCGGTGCGGCGCCGGCGCGCCAACATTAAGGTGAATTGTGGGCACGCTGGCTGCCGAACCTCTCATTACTCTGATTCTTGGCTTAAAAACATCTCTAGGAGCTTTTTACTAAAACTTTATCCACTTTCGGTAGATTAACTTTTTATTATCTAGTTTTATAAATCGAATTTTATAATGGTTGGTCCATTTACAGGGAAATTATTTCAAAAAACACTATCATATTCTTTTACATTTTATTCAATAAATGTTTAACTAAGGCTTCTTGAACTAAGTAATAAATTAGTGGTTAGGTCCGCTTGACCTCCATTATATTATGTTCCTTTGTCCCGAGCACGAGGCGCGGTAACAAGCTATTCATAGATCGAGATCTCTGAACAAACCGATACAGAACATCTATTCAATTGAATACAATTAAATTCAAACAATATAAGGAATGGCGCCTGCCAATGTTGAAAGGCAATGGCTTCGGCGAGGCTTTATACAACATTATCTCTGAGAAACCACAAAATTACCAAAACTACACAATACAATAAAAGTATCAACTTCACTTTCCACGTATTTTATTTGTCAATATTTATTAATGAGTTCTGTTGAAATTGTCATTTCTTGCGAATTGTTTTGCGTAGATTTATCTCACTAATATTATAAATGCGAAATTTCTAATGGATGCTTGTATGTTTATCAGAGTAGTTCTGCTTAGATGACTGTACGGGTCTCAATGAAAATTTGCACAGATGTAGAGCATAGTCTGGAAAAACACTTAGGCTACTTACTTTATTTTTCATTCCAAACAGAGTCGTGGGCGAAAGCTAATGTCAAATAAAATAATGCGTAGCGATATTTATTAGGTTAAAATAAAATACTAGAAAAATGTCTGATGCAAAATCTTTTGTAGTTTGCATTCGATATCTAACATATGTCGGCATCGATATTCAAACGCCTAATATATTCATTTTGTTCGCTCGCCGCATACGACGAAATTTTCTATCCGAAACTTATGCCAACCGATTTTGAACCTACACAATAAGACAAAATGAACCATATTTCATTGATAAGTGTACTATGTATTGAATGGTAAAGGTGAAATGACAAATTCTCTGCGATTTTTCAAAGCATATCGCACTCAGACAATTTGAAAAATGTTATACTTTTTCATAGGAAAAGTATAATAATTTTTGTTTTAGATACAGAAAATGTATAAGTGTTTGTACTTTTGTAGTGTGTTTTACTGCGTAATTCACTGGAAATCATTAAGATTTAATTGTCAATCATTATTTAAATTCAAATATTTTGAGAAAATTTGAAAAGTGCATTTGATATAAAGGACAAAAAGCAACTCAAATCGAAACTCAACTATATAAATACCACAAGCTTCTTCATAACAAAAACTAGGGACGTCGTTACTAAGTTAGTAATATCTGATGGCCATTTAAAGTTAAGGGAAGTTTGCCTACAAACTAAGGTTCTGCGCCTTTATTGCGGTTAGTAATATCCTGTTTAACCCTTACAGGATACGTAGTTTTATTTTCTTAATTAACCCCCTATTCAGTACGATATTTTCAACGTAAAACGTTGTAATATTCACAAAAAAATAATTTCTAATAAAATGAAGAAGACAAATTTAACCGTATGTGGAAGTAATAAATAGTTTTTGTCTAGTCTTTCTTACCCAAAATATATGCTATTTTTCTATTTGCCAAATATTAAATTTAATGGAAACATTGAAATGTTAATAAAGTCGTGTGACTTTCGAGCGTTCCCCGCGGAGGGGCGCGGCGCTGCGGTCGCAGCGTCTTGCGGGACTATTGCACATGTTCAAGTTTTATTTCCCCGGAGCAGGTGAGCGACGACCGACGACTTACGGCGAAATGTTTATATTGCAATCCTAATGGAATTTATACCGAAAGAATATGTTCTATCACATTCTATAAATTGTACCAACTTGATTTATTTAAGCACCAGTCGTAGTTTTAAGAAAATACCTAACCTTTCCGCTGCTTACTCTATAGATACTCCATTTTATCATAAGAGATTTCACCGAACCTTTAATCCTCGTATAACCAATTTTATAAAGTTGAGATGTGTTGTCATACCATGGCCATAAACCAGGTACATCAGTTTAGTAAATGAAGGCTGTCCTCTCTCAACTGCAGCGGTCATCATTTGTCTAAATATTGAATG